TATACTATACGAGGAGAAGAACTTTCAGTAAGAATCTCTTTTCCTTCCAGTAGGTTTCTTCTAATCGTTTACATATCTCCTTGTCCTGTGCAACATCTTACTATTTCTTGTCTGGTTTGTGTAGCAGCCTGTAATACCTACTGGTGTGAATTTGCTGGAACGCCAAATACCGTTTCTCAATTAGGCAATCCAAACCATGTGACATTCAAGATGGCGTGGCGGTCACATAGGGACCAAAAAACACACAAAAATATCTAGTTTCTGCCCGACAATAGTTTACGTACCTATTATCCGTTCACAATCCGATGTCCACAGGTAGGTACAGGTAAAATCACCTTTCAATGCTATTTGATAGGGAAAGGTGATAAATTTACTTGCACCTGTGGACATCGGATTGTGAACAGGATATAGTAAACAAATATTTTATTGAATAATCAAAATCAAAGCTGCAAGCAAAACTCGACGCCAAAATAATTGAAATTTGCATGAAAACATATATTCAAAACTAACCTGCTGGCCGCCACGCCATATTGAATTTTTCGTTTTCATATCGTCAGCGTTAGTATTATCTATTCACCACTTCCGCTTCCGTTCTAAAAGCTTTTTGTTTTGTATTATTTATGTGTTGTTATTTGTACCAAAAGTGACAGACCCCACTTAGCCAATCAAAATTCGTATACCTAACCATTTCTAGACTCAGTTGAAAGCACCTCCAAAAGATACTTTACCGCGGCCGATTTTGAACGTGTAAAGCCAACCGTTTTTCGCACGCTGGAGCCAAACTTGAACGCAATATGCCAATTTTGGCTTGGCTTTAGCCGTTTTTGAACGCAGCCCGGATATCAACTGCTGGGCCCTGCGCCGAGGGCTGCTATTCCGACTCTCGAGCGGCGTTGCCGGCTCAAATACTCTATGCCACATTCTCACTTTCACTAGGTGAGTGTCTTTTGCAAGTCGAATTCAACGCGACTAGTCTTAAACCATTGTTTGTCCTATTTACAGTGGTTATATTAATTTATGGATGAAACTACACACTAATACACTGTACAATATTCATTCTCACTTTTTTTTTTAACTAATCTACACACCACATTCCATTACAGGTGCAACGACGTGCCGGCTTGACTAGTCTTTCTGATCTGGTGGAGTATCTCTGGTGACTGGAGTTATAGACTTCGGTCTTCTCCTCAGAGTCTGGCTCAGATATTATGGAGTGGTTGGAGTCGTCACTTTCGGAGCTATTGCCTTCAATTTCTGGTCCACTGCTTTGTGATGCGGCTGAACCGTATACTGTGTTCGTATCATCCCTTCCATCGTCACCCTCTGATTCTGAGCTTGACTCATCATTGCAACTTTCGGGGATTGCCCAATTAAAGACTCTGATGCAAGAAGGGGATAAATGCATAAATCTGCAAAAGTGAGATAGCTGCATAGGTTTAGAAAGTTGCTCTTCTTGTCTGGTGCAAGTATCGGATACGTACGCCTAACAGATACTGAATTATGATAGGAAACCACATATCCCCTGGTATGGTCTGGTGCAATAATAGGATAAGATTTGTGTAACATATCCCGTTCTTGCACCAAATTTAGTATTATTTTTATATGTAGGAAATTTTGTCCCACTAATGCACCGGCCATTTTGTTTGCATGATGAGGCAAGGTATGTGCCTCAGTCACGTAGTCACCAAAAAACCGTTGGTCCAGAGACAACTTTTTGAACAGTGAAAATAAGTTAACCTGGTACCTAAGTGAGGGTGCGGTGTATTAAAATATTGTGTTATTTTTTATTATTTAAAATATCATAGGACACTATAATGAGTTCAGGCTGTAAGGAGGATGAACCATTTCAAAGTTCAGGCAGTGAGTTCCTGCCTTCAACTTCTAGCAGAGGTAGAAGTTGGTTCAAATGTCACAGGACACTAATATCTCTAAAATTTGATGCTTGAACTTCTTTTTCGTTGCTTCTGACTTCCTTAAAGTCGTTTATGTAGTTCCACTTAGGGATAAATCTGTCTTTGTTAGCTGGAATTGAATTCCTAAGTTTTCTTCCCATGATCAGTTCTGCTGGTGGAAATTGACTCTCTAGTTTTGCTGTTCTATAACTTAATAGTCCTAAGTTTGGGTCTTTGCATTTTAGAATTATATTCTTGGCTATTTTTACAGTGAATTGCGCCTGTCCATTTGATTGAGAATACCTAGGATTGCTTGTGATGTGACTGAATCCATATGTCTGAGCAAATTGTTTGAATATGTGGATAGAAAAACAAGACACATTATCCGATCTAATGATCTCTGGTATTCCCCATCTTGACAACAGTTATGACATCTACAGCAGTTTCTGAATTTAAGTTGGCAACCTCTATAAATCTTGAGAAATAATTGACTGCCACCAGATAATGTTTGTTTGTATTCATTTCGTGTCTTTGTTTAAATATAGGTAGATTTTCGTGGGTTAGAGGACTAGGGGACTAAAAGAAACTATCTAGTTTTCGGCAACGTTTCGGACATTTATTTGTCCTTTATCAAGCCCTAAGAGGAAGAAAAGAGGCACATAAGTACAACATGCGCTCAACAAATCTTTGGAATTTCTTTGTCAAATACTTACTCAGACTGTTGTCTCCGGAGTCCAAACAGTTGGAAAAGGGCACCTTTCATCATGTTCTTTGACGGCTTAATTAATTTTATTTTTGTGAATTTATATATCGGTAATTAATTATTTCTTTTAGTCCCCTAGTCCTCTAACCCACGAAACTCTACCTATAATGTTTGTTGTTGGCCACGAATAAATCAACTCCTACAATCTGCCAGGGGTAATATGGCACAGGGGAAGAAATCATTGGTTCAATTGTTCTATTCCTGTATTGAATGCATGTTAAGCAATTGATTACAATTTCTTTTATTTGTTTTGAGATTTTGGGTCACCGCACCGTTTCATTGGCTAGGCTTAAACATTTCGTCATGCCCAAATGTCCCTCGTGTATTTTTTCCAATATTTCCTTGCGTAATGTCGTCAAAATGAATACTCTGTTGTTGCGGGTTACTATTAAGCTATCCAATATAACCATCTCTCCTTGATATTGGTAGACATTTTTTATCTTCGGTTGGTAAATCCCTAATGTGTGGCCAACCATTTTGTATATAAGTTATTATTCTTTTGGTTTGGACATCAATCTTCTGACATTCCAAGATACTTTTTATGCGCATGTCCTTGATAGGCATTGATTCACGAATATGATTTCCAAATTCTTCCACTTTTTGTATGAGTTCATTGACGAATAAAATAACTACTTCATGATCATTAGATTTTAGTGGAGCTCTCTGGATAATACGTTAGGCAATAGGCATTATCATGTTTCTGCCAGGAATATACAGGAATCTTTGGATTCTAGCTGATAGATCAGCTAATTGTTTGCTTCCCAGAAGTTCTACTAGGGATTTGTGGTCAGTCAGGAGCATAAATGTTTGACCAAGAAGGTATTGGGCGAATTTCTCGTAAGTCCAAGTCAAAGACAATATGCCTCGCTCTTTTGCGCATATCATTTCTCTGTGTCGGACATTGTCCTGGATGCATAGCCGATAGGTTTCCAGGCATCTTTATCAATTTGTTTCAGGACTGCTCCCAGTCTATATGAACTAGCGTCCGCTATGACTCTTGTTGGACGTCCTGGACCAAACTGTCTTAAAATTGGAGCTGTCGTAAGAGCTTTCTTAATGCTTTCAAATGTTTGTTGTTACGGCTCTGTTTACATAAATTCGTTGTTTTTTGTAACAGTTGTCTTATGGGGTCGGACATTTCCGCTAAGCCTGGAAGAAATTTATTGTTAAACCGTATGCAGCCCATCAGTCTTCTCCGTTTATATCGTTGGGAGGTTGAAAGTATGATACACACTACTACTACAGGATGACCTATCCTCATAAGGCCTGTGTGTAACAAAACCCCCCTACCCCCCCGCGCAAAACAACCAGTTGTGACGTAAGCAGCATGGCGTTTCTCGCCTTGACGTAGGCTGTTTAAACAGCTGACGACTTAGTTATGACGTTGGCAATGGTTGAAAACCAATATGGCGGTGATTACCAAAAACGAGGCCGATAAGCACTTCTAGAGTGTATATTCTCCTTGGGGGGGTTGCATGTCTAAAATGACTCGAATTTTCTCTTCATCGATTTCAATTCCTGAAGCTGAAACGCTATGGCCTAGAAATGTCACTTTTTTTATGCCAAATTCGCATTTGTTTCTATCAAATGAATTTTTCCAGTCTTTCCAGTCCTCAGCTTGAAAAGAAAAGTGATATGGAGGAGGAATTGTGACCTAATGCAAAATCACCGGTGCCGAAGCTGTGTTTTCGGCATTCAGTAATTGCTGCTGCTTCAATCTTGATAACTGATTTATTAAGTCTTGTTGCTAATTAAATTCGTCCGCACTCAATCTAATAGCATTTTCCTGTTCACTAGCCATGATTGAAAAATGTGAATAGAAGACAAAATCAACAAAACAATCCAAAAAGTCTACTTTCTTTAAAAGATAAAAATATCTTATAGTCTACCGATGTTGTAGTGGATCTGGCAACATCGAAGCTACTTTCTTGTCACATTCACCCGAAACACAAACACCTGGTTGGATCCTACACTTCACCCAGTGGGAGCACTTCACTAAAGTGGCTAGAGTCGATAGGTCACTAATCGAATGAAAATGTACTATTTTTACCGGTACTTTTCGCCCGATACACAAAAAAATAACCGCTGTCACGATGTAGCAGCATGTGGTACACTTACCTGATATCAACTGCTGGGCCCTGCGCCGAGGGTTGCTATCCCGACTCTCGTTGCCGGCTCAAGTACTCTATGCCACAGTCTGATACTTTATGTCAATTTCCTATCTTTTTGGTAGTCGTCTCATATCTGATTGTCTATGTCTATTTCTTCATTCTGCTGGTATTTTTCTGGCTCGTTACATAATAGCTGGAAAATATTATCTAAATCTGTCGTTTTTTTCTTTTCAGATGTCCGTCACCCCGAATATCGTCACCAGAAAGCCATCACGCGCTGAACAGTCCGTTCTCAACCGTTTCCGATCCTGGCATGTCTTCGCAACCCTACACACCAAACTACTACCCGAAAACGCCTCAGTCGTGGGGCAGTCACGAATTCTACGGCGAAAACAACAACATCTACAACAAATACGACAAATACAACTATTCCTCTCGTTCGAACGCTTCATCGTACAAAACCCACAACAATAATCAGCAAGAGGATTTTTACAAGACCAACTACAATAAGAAAGATCAGCAGAGCAAGAATAAGCCGCCAAGTGCTCCAGTCGGGCTGGAGGTGATGAAAAAGAGGCGATTGGCGGCTAATGCGAGAGAACGGAGAAGGATGAATAGTTTGAACGATGCTTTTGATCGGTTACGCGATCATGTTCCTAGTTTAGGGAATGATAGGAAGTTGAGCAAGTTTGAAACGTTGCAGATGGCTCAGCAATATATCGCGGCATTACATGAACTGTTGCAAAGAGATTGAAGTTTTGCTTCTTTATGGCTTTAAGGCCTTCGAGCAAAGGTAATTTAATGAACAATTTGAGGTAATCATCATTATTTTATGCTCTTAGGTAACACTTAAAAGCTTTCAAAGGTGACAGTAGTGGCTGCGCTTAGTCGAACTTAAGAGTTGGAGTGATTTGATTGTTCTTCAACGATTATTCTTGATTTTGTATCGGTTATGATTGGTCATATGTTTATTTTACAGCTCTTACTCTCTCTTATAAGTATTTCCATAAATCGTTTCTGTTTTTTTAGTAGCTGTCATCGTAAAATTCAAACTCCTAAACTCGATTAAGCCCAGCCAATATGGAGTATAACCAATCTTTTGCAATAACATTTCAAAACTCAAATTTTCTCAATTATTAAATCTTAATTTTTGTCAATTTTTTTTATTTTATTTTTTGTTGTTTTTTTGTAATTTATGTATTGTATTTAATTAAACAATTCGGACTACAGGTCGGGAGACAAAACCGTGCAATTTTTAGGTTTATAGATTATATCAAACAGATGTGCAATATAAATGTTGATATTTTACTTTTAAAATTAGTTTTAAGATCTAGATAATAGATACTTTTGTCTTTTGCTCAAAAAATAATGTTAATTTTGAAACCTTTTTTGAATATTTCTTTAAAGAATATTTCAATAAAAATAATGATATCTTTGAAATTTCGTGATACATACACTATCATAATAGTAATTATTCCAACCTGGCTAAAAAACATTCAATAAAAGTTTTTTTCTTGAATAGTTTTGAATAAGGTTGGAACAAACCTATTGTAAATAATGTAGGTAGATAGCTACCTATGGGGGTTCAGTGCAATATTTATTAATTTAGTGCAATATAGTAACATTATTTGTTATTTATTTTTTATAATTTATTATTGTTTTTTTTTTATATTTGTATATTGTTCCTTTTTTATATTCTGTTTTAGTTTTAAGTTTTATCAATTCTTTTATACTGTCTGGTGATCGTTTTATTTTATTTTTTATTACAATAGGTTCCTTTTGTAACATATTTTTTTTTACCAAATACTTGTGCAATATTTTTTGAAATAAAGATATGGAAAAATTGACATAAATCGATTTTTATTTGCCCTGTAGTTGAATGTTTTCTGAAAAATCAACTATAACATAAAAATGTATTCTGGAATTGATAATCCATAGGTATCTAGATCTTACAAAAGTCTTGTTCCAACAAATAAATATTTTGTAGGTACCTACCTAACGATTAAAATTTTAATTCCAATTGTTGAACAAATAGATGTGTTCCAACACAGCAGGAAAAAACCGTGTACAGACAACAAACAAACCGTCACGTCAAGATTTTGTCTATTCCAGGCGTTAGGCTCAAGGTTATTTGAGAGCGGCAGGTTGGCTGATAACTTTATGACGACATCTGGGGTGCCTCATCATATTGCAAATCTCCATAAGGCACCCCAGATGCATCATCAAGTTATCCATTACCAGGCAACCTATATTAACTTTAGGAACCTTGCGCTAGGCTCTCTGAAATAATTCTGAGGTTTTTAATTGTTCTGAAGCCTTTCAAAATGCTACTGGAAAGTGTTTTAGAACGTTCTAAATTGCCTATTGAAATTCTTGAGTGTTCTAACTTGGCTTGAAGAGTTCTGGAACATTGCAGAAGTTTTTCAGTAATTTCTGAATTGTTCTGACAGACTTTTAAGTATTGCAGAGCCCCATTGAAGCTCCAAAGTGTTCTAAATTGGTTCAAAAGATTTCCAAAAGGTTTCCAGTTCTAAATTGAATCCTATAATTGTTCTGAAATAACTCTGAAGTTTCTAAATTGTTCCAAAATGCTCCTGAAAATTCTGATTTGGGTTTGAACTGTTTTGGATACTTGTTAATCATGTCATTTTTTTTTTTGGTTTGTACTTACATCATCATTTGCCTTTTTAAAAAAAAAATGTTTTTTTTTTATGTCTGAAATTTCGAACAAACATATAGTTCGTTGCACGGCACGCAGGTTTTCACTTACGTCATCGATGACGTCATAACTTAGAGAAAAAGTTATGTCATAGATTAATTCATGGAGCACCTTCGGCATTATTGTTTTGTAATACATTTTTTAACTTAGAAGAGAATTTATTAAGTTATCCAGAAATATATAAATAAAATTTCTCCTAGAGCCATTTTTCACTGGAAAATTTTCAAAATTTTCCCTCTGCTAGTTTTCCAGAAAAAAATTAAAATGTAAGAGGATGAATTTTCCTTAATTTTGCTTAAATAAGTCAATTTTCCACAATTTTTCCTGAGTGATTTTTCAATGAAAAATTTTGAAATTTTACTTGGAAAGTTACGGGATTTATGAAAAAGTTACGGGAATTACGACTGAAAAAGGCACTCGTGCACTACGTGCACTCGTGCTCTTTTTCAACTAAAAATGCATTCGGGCAAATTTCCCAAAAATTATCAATAATTTCCATTGAACTAGTTATATTACTATTGAGAATTCTCCCTATTTCTATAATTCTTCCTTAGTCATTGCAATTCTTGGAAAACTCGTAATTTTCGTAATTCCCGTAACTTTTTCATAAATCCCGTAACTTTCCAAAAATTATTGTAATTTTTTCGCAATTCCCGTGATTTTTCCTTATCTATTTCAGTTCCTCAAATTTTCGTAATTTCGTAATTCCCGTAATTTCTCAAAAAATTCCGTTATCTTTATAATTCGCCCCCATCAGTTTGTTGTAATTCTCAAAAATTGGTAATTCCCGTATTTGTTTTTTCTTGGAATTTTCGAAAATTCTCAAATTCCCGTCATTTCTCAAAAAATTCTCGTTAATTTCATAATTCCTCCTTAGTTTTTGCAATTTTCGGAAAATTCGTGAATCCCGTAACTTTTTGTAATTCTTGTCATTTTCGTAGTTTTTTGAAAATTGTCACAATTTTTTTAATTTCCGTGATTTTTTCGTATTTTTCACAATTTTTGAATAATTCCTGTAGCTTTCAGATTTCCGTAATTTTTTAATTCCTGTGATTTCTCAGAAAACTCCGTTATTTTCATAATTCCGAAATTATGTAATTCTCGTAATTTTCGTATTTTATTTTGGGAATTTTCGAAATTTTGTAATTCCTGTGATTTCTCAGATAATTCTCGTTATTTTCATAATACCCCCTTAGTTTTTCGAAAAACTCGAAATTTTCGTAATTCCCATTATTTTCGTAACATTTTAATTTCCGTAATTTCTCAAAAAAATTCCGTTAGTTTTATAATTCCCCCTAAGTTTTTGAAATTTTCGAAAGTTGGTAATTTCCGCATTTTATTTTTGGGGATTTTCGAAATTTTTTAATTCCTGTCATTTCTCAGATAATTCTTGTTATTTTCTAATTTCCCCTTATTTTTTCAATTTTTGGAAAACTTGTTAATTTTCGTTATTCCCGCAATTTTTCGCGCTTTTCCCATCCTGATGTTTCCGTTATTCCAGTAATTATTTGTATTTTCAATTTTTTAATTTTCAATTTTCCTAATTTCCAAAAAAAATCGGAATTGTCTAATTCTCCCTAAGTTATTGTAATTTTCGTAATTTCAAAAACTTGTGATTTCCGTTATTTTGGGAATTACCGTAATTCACGTAATTTTGAAATAACTTTGTAATTCTTTCCCGTTATATTTCGTAATACCCGTAATTTTTGTAATTTTCGTAGTTTTTCGTATTTTTCTCAATTCCCGTAATTTTTATAATTTCTCATAATTCCCGTAAATTTTCGTCATTTCCGTCATTTTACTGGGTTCCGTAAATTTTTATAATTCCCATTATTTTTCGTAATTCCCGTAATATGTCTTGTTAGTTTTCGTAACTTTTTAAAAATTAGTAATATTTAAATAATTGACGTAATTTTGGAGTAACTTCGTAATTCTTTTGTGTAATATTTGGCAATTCCCATAATTTTTATAATTCCCGCAATTTTTTATTATTCCGTGATTCTTGTCATGTTCCGTAATTCTCGTAAATGTTTGCAATTCTCATAATTTTTCATATTTTACATACTTTAACGTAATTCCCGTAATTTTTCGTAACTTTTCAAAAATCATCGTTATTCTCGTAATTTTTAAATGAGGATAAAATTGCGGAAAGTGATGATAAAATCGCAAATAATAAGAGTCAAAAATCGCAAAAAAAAATATGAGTCAAAAATTTCAAAAAAAGTGAGTTTAAACTCGCGGAAAAGTAAGATGAGACTCACGGAAAAATGAGGATAAAGTCACGAAAAGTGAGGATAAAATCGCGGAGAATGAAATAGGAATCGCGGAAAAGTGAGGATAACATCGCAAAAAAAAAGTGAGATAAGAATCGCGGAAAAATGAGATAATATTTACAGAAAAGTGGGTTTACAATCGCGAAAAAGTGGATTTAGAATCGCGGTAAGTGATGATAAAATCGTAAAAAAATGAGTCAAAAATCGCAAAAAAAGTAAGGACAAATTCGCAAAAAAGAGAGTCAAAAATCGTAAAAAGAGCCAAAAATCGCAAAAAAGTGAAGACAAAATTGCAAAAAAGTGGGTCAAAAATTGCAAAAAAAAATGAATCAAAAATTTCAAAAAAAGTGAGTGTGAATTCGTGAAAAAGTGAGATAATAATCGCGGAAAAATGAGGTAATATTTGCGGAAAAGTGGGTTTACAATCGCGGAAAAGTGAATTTAGAATCGCGGAGAAGTGATAGTAAAATCTAAGATTTCTAAATTATGACGTCATCGATGACGTAAGTAAGTACAAAAAGTACAAAAAAAATAAATAATTTTTTATATTAGTTTTAGGTAGTGCCACTGTAGGTAGTGCTATGTTGGGATGCCGAATGGGAGTGCTAATTTTTGCTTTAGGGGTGCTTAGCACCCCCAAGCATCCCCCTAGTTGCGCCTATGCTTGAACGCCTTCTGAAAGACGTTTGGTGGCGCTTTTCAAAATGTTTCCGGAGATTCTTGAGTGTTGGAATATTTTGGAACGTCCTAAAATGGGTTTCA